GTGCTCGGCCTAAGGAATGGCTAATAGGAACACAAAACATGGATCCTCAGCTTCGCGGTCCAGTACACCAGCCACTAGGCTGTGCTCGGCCTAAGGAATGGCTAATAGGAACACAAAACATGGATCCTCAGCTTCGCGGTCCAGTACACCAGCCACTAGGCTGTGCTCGGCCTAAGGAATGGCTAATAGGAACACAAAACATGGATCCTCAGCTTCGCGGTCCAGTACACCAGCCACTAGGCTGTGCTCGGCCTAAGGAATGGCTAATAGGAACACAAAACATGGATACTCAGCTTCGCGGTCCAGTACACCAGCCACTAGGCTGTGCTCAGCCTAAGGAATGACTAATAGGAACACAAAATTAGGGTCAAATGAATGTATTACTTCCAAACAGTCACCCTTCCATCCACAAAAACAAACGAATTAAATATTTTTCTATATTAATATTTAGTTTTTCTGCTATTAAGACTGTGAAATTATGTTCTTTTTTACCTATACCATTTGTTTTTAAAGTTGTGGTAGAAAGTAAATAAAAAATTAGGTCTGTTTCTGATTGCACACAAGTGACAAATGTGGTCCTTCATAGACCTCTTTAAAGATTTTTATCATTTATCAAGTCAGACTTGAGTAACATCTAAGACTGTATTTACGTGTACAATATTTCTAAATTTATTGAAGATATACAAATTTTCTAGAAAGGCCTGATGTGTTTCTCTTGTTAAAAAAAAAAGCCTTAATAATCTTATTGACTTGCCAGAAAATGAAAAAGTTGCAGTTCTAATGTTTATAAAATAAATAACATAATAAAAGGTGAACAGATAACAGAAATCCAATTGGCCCATTAAGGTCACCCATTAACCCTATCTTCCTATAGTCATGGATCAAAAGCCATGTCATCGCATTTGTAGACTTGCATTCAAAATTTTATTGAACTATTATTTTATGAATGTATGTCAATATGTTTGGTATTAAATTGTAAATTATAATTAATGTTTTAGTATGATCCTTTAGTTAATTTCTTAATTTTAAATATTAAGAAAGAAAGAAATCCTAAATATCAATTTTTGTGTGTCATGTGGTATGCTGAATGCAACATTGATTCAAATTAGACGTTTGTGATGTCCAGATACAAAATCTATAGTTTCTTATGAATTAGAAACTCAAATTAACAATATTGACAAACTAGGATATAAAATAAGAACCTACTATCTTTTCTATTTGCTGAGATATCGCTCATGTACTGAAACACACACAGTGGCCCCGCCCACCTCTTTCAAATTTTGGAAATGCTCCCCTATATACACTTACTTCTATATATAACATGAATAACCAGTTGGAAGCTCAGAATGTCCCCTTGTGGTTTTCTCAGCCTTTCTAACGTGGCTAGTGCCATTTCTTTTGAACCAAGATTTCAATGAAGTAGGTTGTGTCTTTAGTCTGCTCAAAATTTCATACTTTTTTAGACTAAAATACATCTTAGTTACTAAGCTTGATAAATTATAGTGGAATGCTATGGTATTGATGTAGTAATTTATGATTTTTTAGTTATTCAAATGTATATATAAAACCTAAAAAAATTATTTCATTTCACATCCTCCATGTGTGAAACTTGATAAGGCTTAGCAATCTACGGCACGCAGCCAACAAGTACAAAGGTCGTAACTAGAAGATATAATTATTTTATATAATTCTTTATTTACTGTTCTATATTTTAAGAAAAATAACTTTAAGAAGTTATTTCAAAATAAGCAATAATCTATATACATATATAATGTATAATAATTGAAATGTGACGGTATTTCACAAAATACTAGTCTACTAAAACACAGCCAAGACAAGTTACTTTGTACAGACCAAAGGTCAGTTTTTTGTTATTTGAAACGGTAACATGAGTGCACGTGAGCCAAGTCATTATAACTTCTGTATTGCTGGCCAGACACAGCTGAAAGGTCAATATAATAAAAATAATAAATATATATAAATGAATAATGTTATGAGACTTTAGCTACTTAGACTAAACATTTGTAGTCATTCTACAACAAAAGAAGCATAATTTATAATTATTTTCTACTTTTTTCATTGAGCTTACGAAGTCAGTTAATCAAACCAACCCATACAGAGATATAGTAGGGAAGATAACAGATAAAAAGTTTTTCTAAAACAAAATTGATAAATATATGGGGGTTATAAAGATTTCTCATGTAAAATTTGAAAATGTTCTAATCCATAAAAGTATTTTTAATCTCACATTCAAAATTACTTTGCATGTTGGATAGTCAACATTCTGAAAGGAAAAAAAAAAATTATGAAAAATTTTTAATTAAAAAATCTTAATACGTAATTTAAAAACCTGATATTTTGTGTAAATGCTTACCAGTAACCTGCAAAATTTTGTAAAGATATGCATACATTACCAAAAATCTTGTTATAATTACTCTCATGGATACTTTCGTGTTTACGAGCTGGGTGGATTCCATCCAGCCCTTAATGAAGGGGTTAAAGAAAACAAGCCCTACCTAAATATAACCCCTTTCTTTCACAAAAATACCAAATCAAAATGACTTGGTAAACCATTCCACAAGATAACTTTGTCAGGGAAAATGTTTCCTCTAATAACCAGTCTGAATCTGAGCTACCACAGCTTTTAACTTATTTCCTCTAATATTTACGATTTCATTCTAAACCTTATCCTTCCACCAGTTTAACGCACCTTTCATTTATCGAAGCCCCACAGAAGTTTTAATCAGGTTGTTGCTAGTTCTCCTATGCTTTACAAAAAAACAAGTTCTGTAAGGTCTTTGTTGGTCAAACTCTCCCCACGAGAAGTTAGTAACTCCTCTGCATCATCGTCCTTAACTTCAGTGAAACCAGCCTGTTGTGCAAGCTGCACAATGATGTTGGGAATTTGAGGTATATCAGGTTTAAAACTAACAGTCATTTATGCAGGCAGGCCACAGCTTTTTCCTCACACTGTTCATGCACTCGACAGTCATTTCCCTCCGTGATTCTCCAATTTGTTTCACTACCTTCACGATGTTATAACTGCACCAAAATTCCCTCTTTCTGTAGTCATGGCACTGTAAGGCAATTTTAGTTTTCAGTTAGCCATTTGTTAATATTAGGCCTTTGGACTGTCTTTCATATAATTTAAATTTTCTTGCCTGTACAAAGTATTAAAAACATTTAATATATATATATACTTTCACACACAGCAAACCACGTAGTTCATCAACCTTTTGAAGAAAGTACTCAAACATTGAGATGGTATACATTGTGAAGTTTCATGGGTTTTTTGTGCAATTCCACATTTACAGATGTTAAGTATGCATCAGAATTTTATGACAAAAATTATTATTGGGGAAAGAATCAATGAATCAGCCAGAATGCCAAAGAACATCAAATAAATGTTTGACATTATCCAACGAGAAAGACCGCACTGTTCTAGCAGGAGAATTTCCAGGAGGCAGTAACTGATGGTTGACCTCCTCCTCTTCAAATCTTTTATCCATTGAACAATAATATTCTTTGCTTATACCACAAGGAAATTCTGTTTCCTGTACTTCATCTCATTGGATACAATCCAGACATTTACGACTGATAAAAAATTACAGTGTAACATACTTTCCTCCACTATTTAGTGGGCGTGCTCATACAGACACTTGCAACTTTGTCTGCTAGCTCAACATCTCCTATGGATCTATTATCAAACATAATAGTTCTTGGGCATGGAACATCAGCCTTGTTGCCATCTTCTAACTTGTGCTTTGCAGTTGACATATCATCTATCAAAATTTGTGTGAAAGTTATTCAAAATCATTAACTCTTTTGTGTCTTGCAAGTTGACACAGCAATTCCTCACCCCCAATAAAATTTTGTGTTTATTTTTGTAACATCTTACCTTGACTTGATACACGTACAGGAGAAATTCTTTTAGTTGTGCTGTCCACGAGACTTACAAGTGAAGAATCTATGAAAGCACAATACCACATCTGGTGATTTGATAGTTTTTACCAACTTCATCACAACTCATTCTACAAGCATATCCTCCACTGCATCATCTTCCCTCCCGCAGTACATGTTCACATCATAGGCATAATACCCTGTTAGTGAGTAACACCTTGATACCTCGGGCGGCATGGCCAGGTGGTTAGGGTGCTTGACTCGCAATCTGAGAGTTCAAATCCCCATCCCACCAAACACACTCGCCCTTTCAGCCGTGGGGCCATTATAAGGTGATGGTCAATCCCACTATTCATTGTTAAAAGAGTAGCTCAAGAGTTGGTGGTGGGTGGTGATGACTAGCTGCCTTCAGTTTAGTCTTTCATTGGTAAATTAGGGACAGCTGGTGCAGATAGCCCTTGTGTAGCTTTGTGAGAAAAAAACAATCTTGATACCTGACTTTAGAGAATTGTGGGAAGACCTCCCTTTGGATTTTGCCATTGACTCATCTGTACTCTGTTTTGGGCTATCAATCCTACATTTCTGATAGATAGATTTCAAGCAAGATATTACCTCCTCAGTATAGTATAATTTTTCTACATTATCTGGTTTCTTGGTAACACTGAAGTACAATCTTGACAATAGCAACTTGCTCCTATCCCAAGATACAGCAGCTTTTATTGACACTTCCTTAGAGAAGTGTTTGCTGACCAACAGGAGGAGAAATCTAGCAATCACTTGTACCACATGAGAAGTGACCATCCTATAACAACCATAATTTCACCAACATCGGTTTTAGGAACTTTGCTAGTTGTTCTCTCAAGGATTTCTAACCTCCTGTCTGCGTATTGTGTTATGTAGGTGAGCAAATTTTTGAGAAATAATCTCATGAATGTGTCTAACTCGGATGATAAATTGTTATGTCTGCTATGACTATAGTCCCTGGAGATCAGAATTAATTTCCTTGGGTTGAACTTAGCAGGAACTTTTTCACAAGATATAATTATTCCTTGTTGCATTATCTGCCATCAACTCAACAGCTGCATCCACTACAACATCTCAAACTCTATTGTTATGTGGTCCTTCACGTGTGTGACATAAGCAACTCTCTCTAGATTCTAATCGAGCACAAAATGCCTGTCCATTGTCTACTGACCAAATAAAAATGTGAGACCCAGAAATTAGGTGTAATACAAAATAAGTAAAACAGAATCTAAAAACACATACTAACCTGTTTCGATTTTATATGCAATTTCAATTTTCATGTTAACAAGTAATTGCTGTCGAATGTTACTTTCACTGTCCTCATAACGTCTGAAAATAATAAGCCTGCATTGTCAATGACGTTGTCAAATCAGAAACGAAAGCTACGTCTTAGGTTAATAAAATTAAAAAGTAAAATGACTTAAATTTTACTAATACTATCTATAGCCTTAACAGTACAACTACAACTTACAAGTGAACTTCAAAATCAAAGTACAATTTATAACTACGAGTTACATATATAATATTAATACAAATAGTGCGGAGACCTATGTCCTTGCCCTATGGCTACTGGCTACACCGTTTACTATATACTAATAATATTACTATACTATATTTTTCTATTTACTCTTAAAGTCGGTTTGAAAGTGATGTTCGCACAGTGAAGTCGTTTTTAACTAGTAGGTTTTCCTTCTGTTGGTTTGTACTTAACCAAACCAGAAACTTAAGGTACTAAATAAAAGCTTCATTATAGCTTATAACGTCTTACCATAACGAAAATCAGCAAGTTTCAATTTGTTTTCTACGATATTTATAAACCTAAACTACTCAATCACCTAGTGCCCTCGGAGGCCTAAAATATCTGCCATGCATGTTAACGTTCGTACAGTACCATTTTTGCACAACGCGAGCAATGACGTCTATAACCGCGCCAAGCACGTGTCCAATTCTAAAAATTTGTAATAATAACATAAAATGTAAATACTACATTCGAGGTTCAAAAAATAAATGGGAAAAAATTATCAGTAAATATATATTATTCCATTTAAGTTAAGAATATAGCAAGATGTCTTATAAATGTCTTGTATTGACAAACACATATTACTAAAATGTAGTGATATCATTATTGTTAAGGTTTGAAACAAAATAAAATAATATTATATTATATACAATATAATAAAAGTATAATAATAAACAATAAATAAAAATAAAAACCAATGAGATGCGATATACAAACTATGCCAATGCTGTTAATTGAAGCAACAATAAATAAACAATATCGCAATCTTACTTAGGGACCACACAAACACTAGTTGTTGTCACCATCGTTGTAGAAATAAATGTCTTTGTAAATTGTAATCTTGCTCTACGTAGCACGTCTCTTGACCTTTCAAGATTTCCGTCCTTCAATGAAGAATTATATGCTAAACCCTATTAGTACGAAACAATATAATTTTTAGATTTTGTTTGTTGAATTCCGTGCAAAGACACATGAGGGATATCTGAGCTAACTATCCCTAATTTGAAAGTGATAGACTAGAGGTAAGGGAAGTAGTCAATACCACCCAATGAAAACTCTTGGGCTAGACATAAACATGAATAGTGGGATTGACTGTCACATTGTATAATTCCTATGAATAAAATAGCAAACATGTTTAGTGATAGGTTTCAATTGCCAGCTTAGCATCCTAACTACAGTCCTGAATGGTGGGGGTGTTGCTGATTCTCCTTTGCAGGGACTGTTCCTGGATAGTCCTATCTCTGATCCTCTTCTGGAGACTGAATGAGGTAATTGGTATGCACTAGTCATTATCGATTACTTCATCAAGTAAGCTAATACATTAGTACACTTCGCTGCTTTCGAAACTTTAGCGACACAAGTCCTTTCTTAAATAAAACTAGTATATTCTTTCTCAATACAACTTTGCAATACACTTAATTTCCACGGTCACGCTATAACTTAAACCAACGCTATAATTCACAACAAACCACTCACGCGCTCGACCCAACTGTCCGTCTCTATCTCTGTCTGCAATTCAACTACATTGTTGCCGTCACTTCTTGGCGGTCTTATATACAAGAATACCGAAAATATAGTAAACACTCGAGGCTTCGCGAAGGGACACGAACGTTTTAGAAGCCCATGACGTGTTACCAGGGTCACGTAACTTCCGCTGTCGTAACATAGCATATTAGTATATCTTGGAGTTTCGTTCACAAATGTTTCAGTATGCTTGTTTAATATGTGATTTTACATACGTATATTAACGATATTACATCAGTTATGATGAAACACGAGTTTTCTATATCAAATATAAATGGAGATTTGTTAGAAACTAGTATTCATGGTGTGTAATTAACTATAAAAGACTAAGCTTGACGTTTACTTAAGTTTTCGTAAGTAGTATCTTAGCGTCTTTTTAAGTTTTGTTAACAAATGTTCCAATATGTGTGATACTTAAATCTGAGATATTACTTACATATACTAAAGATAGTATATTAGTCTATGATGAGAACAAAATCACAGAACTCTAATTTGTAACTAATGATTTTTATTTCATTTGATTATCTATCTATAAAGTGTAAATGAAAGATAATTCGTGTTAGGGTAACAGTTTCAAAATCCACGTGAAAAAAATATAACTGTTGTGAAATAGACGAAAAATGAATACTTGACTTTATAATTAAAGGATCTTTTACGATTATGACTGTCAACTTTAACTTGTGAACGAGTTGGAAACAGCTAAATCTGTTATTACACAAGTACATAATTTATAATTAAATATCTTGCATTTTATATGTTTATGTCATCTAAGTAAA